AGGTGCTGTTGAGTTGGTTTCAACTCATAGCGATCTTATGCCCAACAGAATGAAAGACCTCCCGGTCCTGCACCAACCTCACAGTTGCTGCTACACTTGAGCCCATTGCTGCTACCACTGTGTGGGTCTCCCACTTTCTTGCTGACCTTCCACTTTACCTAGCATGATGTCCTTCTCCCGGGACTGGTCACTCACGATAACATGTCTGAAGTATGAGAGACAAAGTCTCACCAGCCTGGCTTCTAAGGAGCATTCTGACTGTACTTCTTCCAACACAGATTGGTTTGTTCTTCTGACAGTCCATGATACTTTTAAAATTCTTTTCCAACACCATAACTCAAATACATAAATTCATCTATTGTTGATGTTGTTGTTATGTGCCGTGGAGTCGGTTCCAACTCATAGTGACCCTGTACAGGGTTTCCGAGGCTGTAAATCTTTACGGGAGCAGAAAGCCTCATCTTTCTCCCGTGGAACAGCTGGTAGTTTTGAACTGCTGACTTTGATGTTAGCAGCCCGATTCGTAACCACTATGCTACCAGAGCTCTTTGTGTCAATCCATCTTGTTGGGGGTCATCTATATTCTAATTCATCTATAGTCTTCCTTATTCACTGTCCAACTTTTACATGCACATGAGGCTACTGAAAATACCATAGCTAGGGTCAGGCATACTTTAGTCATCAAAGTGACATCTTTGCCCTTGAACACTTTAAAGAGGTCATGTGCAGCACATTAGCTTAACAATTGCCTTAGCGTTGATTCTGACTTGTGCCGACCCCATATGTGTATTCCATACAGTATTCAATGGTGGAGTTTTCAGAAGAGGGTTACCAGGATTTTCTTCTGAGGCGCCTCTGGGCGGACTTGTACCTCCAACCCATTGGTAAGCATCTGAGCATCTTATCCATTGGTACCACCTGGAGCCTCTTGGACATGTAAAAAGATGTAAGAAGTTGTGTGGCATAACTTGACCCGGAATTTAAAACCAAGGCAAAGTTTGTGGAGGAGCACAACAATCTAGAGACAGATGGAAAAATCCACTGGGGGATGTTGTGCTGATGTAAAGTCAAGAGTGAAAATCTTTCCATTAATGCTTTTGTGTTCTGGGTCACGTTATTAGGGTGATTCACTCAAGGGGAAAACACATACACACAGACAACCCATTATGCAAAAAGGCATCTTAAAAAGCAGAGCACTTCAGTAGGAATTATTTTCATTACAGACTAATTCAGCCGGGTTCCTCACTGTACTTCAGTGCGTTGTTTACAGATGATTAGCTATTTGGCTAGGAAGAAGGCCAATTTAAGTCTAAATAGCCCAGGGCAGTTGGAGATTCAGCAAAGAAATACAAACTCAGGATGAAGCAGGGAGATCAGGAGGCACCCACGGCACAGTTTACATGGGTGGTTCTGTCTCCAGGAATGTAGTTGTCAGAAGACAATGAGAAACCCTGCATTCTCACATTGTATCCATGCAAGTCATACTACAAACCAAACCCACTGTCAGCAAGAAGATTCCAACTCACAGCGACCCCACAGAACACAACAGGACTGTCCTGATGGGATGTCCCAGACGGCTACCCTTTGTAAAAGCTGACAGCCTCATCTTTGTCCTGAAAATCAGCTGGTAGGTTAGACCCTTTGACCTTCCTATTAGCAACAGAATGCTTAACCCACTGTGCCACTAGGGCTCTTTTGTTAACCCACTGTGCCACTAGGGCTCTTTTGTTATAAACAAGTGCATCTTATATGGTCTCTTGGCTTTGGGGAAGATGGCTAGATTCTTAGGTAAAAGGAAATGCCACTTTCAGACTTCCAAGATGAAACATACCTTCAGCTAAATAAAAGATTGGCTCGGCTCATACAATGAACAATGGCATCCATGTGTACTTTCATTAAATTAAAAAAAAAAAATCATCTATATGAAACCAAATGATCACCAGTTACCATAAGTAAAGGAGGGAAGTTCTGTAGGATGCAAAGGAGACAGAAGGAAGGGGCGAGGGAAACTAGATTAATGGAAACGGAAGACCAGACGGCAAACAATGAAAGTGTTGGCATAATGTGGAATACGTAACCAGTGTCCCTGAGTAATGTGTATAGAAATTGATAAATGTAAATCTCATTTGCTGTGTAAACAGTCACCAAAAACCAAATAAAAAAAAAAATGAATGAAAAAAAAAAAATAATGAGCTGATACAATGAAATGCAGATGGGTCTCTTGTGATACAATAGTGAATAATTGTTATCAGGACTGCATGTGAGGGTTGGAAATGTAAAGGTAGACGTTTTGTAGCAAGGCGGGGAGTGATTAACTCTGTCATATATCCTTTTAAAATAATAATAATAATCCTTTGAAAATTAAAAAAACAAAACAAAACTAAGTCTTTCTGCTATTTTAAAATGGGGAACTAGTCAACTATTTCCACATAAAACATCCCTGACTTGTATGTTTCCCAAGTTGTTTTTGAATAACTAACCCAATTCAATCTAACTTTTTTTTTTTCTGAGATGTCCCTAATTTTATTTCCTTCTGTAAAGAAAACAAAACCATCAATACAGTATATGAATCTTAGAGAGCATCAATTTTAACATATTAAAATGAAATAACCAATGAGTTCCTGGCTCCCCCTAGCACGTGCACCCAACACCCCAGGAACAGAGCATGGCATCCCATGGTGATCTCCTGGATGCCATAGCAGTGAACAAAACAATCTCCCATAGCTCAATCCTGTGATGAGTCTGAGGATGCCAATTCTGCTCCGTGAAATAACGTCTACAGAGATGAAAGGAGCAAGGGGTTGACAAGCTGGATGGAACCAGAAAAGAAGCAGAAAGCTGACTCATGTTCCCAGCTCTGAAGCACAACTGGACCACACACTGGCTGTGTGGCTCAGGGTGAGTTCCTCAACCTCTCTGTGCATCTTCCTTTTCTCTGGCTGTTTCAAGAAACACCATGATACCTACCTGGAGTGAGTTCTGAATGGAATCCATAAGGCTGAGCATGTCCCAACACATTGTTGTTGTTTTTAACTGTCATTGAGTTGGTTCTGACCCAAAGCGACCCTGTATAAGGTTTCTGAGGCTGAGGCTGTGCATTTTAAATCTTTGCAGTAGCAGAAACTCTGATCTTTCTCCTGGTCACAACACAGAATGGTGTTTATATATATGACACACATGACCGCTCACATTGTCACAAATGGAACCATGGTCATAGATTCAGAAAGAACTGCTGCTGTCAGTCTGGTTAGTTGTCAGTTTCTTCAGAACACAGCAAAAAAATTGTCTTGCATTTGATGGATGTCAAAGCTGCTCTTAATGATGATTATATTTTGGGAAAAGCATTTGGGTGCGTCTACCTCCTAAAGCCTTAAGTACCCTTTTGAGGTTTCTCATAATCATTTCTTCCAAAAAACGAGTAGATTTGACTTTCTGTGATTTCTGATGACCCTTCCACCACTTCCTCCCATCTCCTCCCCCACCCCCATTAAAGATTTACCCTCCCACATTCTCCCACAGTGAGGAGTTAGATGTGTCCAGGATTCAGGGTTTGGTGACTGAGACCTTTGATTCTGGTACGACTGTGAGGATTCTCCTCTGCTTTTCACCCTGTTGACTTGGATCTTTTGCTCTGGGCAATACCCAGTCCCTTTCCCACCTGTTTCAGATCAGGTGCCCCTAGACTCATTTTGGAGCACTGGCCTCGATGAGACCCCTGTTGGCAGGGGTGGGCATTCTTTAGGGCATACATACACTCTACCAATGACACGATGAACTCTCTTGGCAAGACTTAGAAGGCAGCCGGGGGGGGCTACCCAAAATCAAACCCACTGTTTTTGAGTGGATCCCACCTCATAGCCACTCACTAAGACAGAGGAGAATTGCCCCACTGGGCCATCTAGACTGTAAATCTTTACGAGAGCAGACAGCCACATCTTTCTCCCATGGAGTAGCTGGTAGGTTTGAACAGCTAACCTTTTAGTTAGCAGCCCAATGCTTACCCATTGTGCCACTAAAACTCTTTGTGGTGAAGCAGGGGCCACAGGAATTCTCCACTCTCCTCTGGGAATTGGGGTGGGGACACTGCACCCATCTAGGCAGGTGATCCCACATCAACACAGTGATCTTTCTTTTGTATTTAGTTTTGATCTGCTTCCCCCAGCACTGGAAGGCTCTATTTATAAATATTAAAGTGCATTCAAGAATTCCTAAGAGAGTCTGTCTGTTGTTGTTTTCCTTCCATTTAAATGGGGGGGGGGGTAACCATGTTTTCCCCTCCCCCTCCTTACTGGAGTCACACAGCTGAAATAAATCACCAGCTACAAAACCCAACAACCCCAGACCTATTGTCTCCGAGTCGATTCTCACTCACACTGACCCTTTAGGGCAGAGGAGAACTGCTCAGTTGGGTTTCCGAGGCTGGACATCTTTAAAGAAGCAGATGACCACATCTTTCTCCCATGGAGAGGTGAGTTCGAATACCAGACATTTCAGTAGGCAGCCAAGCACTTTCACCCTGTGCCACCAGGTCTCCATCGTGAACTGGTTCCATTTTCCCACCGTGAGAAAACATGCTCATGCATAGCAGCCGAGCATCATTGGCCATTTGGCTGGTCTGTGCACTTGATTGCAGTGCTTTTTTAAATATTAATTTTCAGAACTGTGATGGAAGGCAAGCAACCGGCTATACAGAGCTTCCCACCCGAACCCCCAATAGCCCTCCCCTACCCCAATACTGAGTTCTTCATCCATATCACCCAATCCTGAGAAGGCTAAGAGACCATGGCCAGGGAGGGTTCAGACATGGGTGGGGATGAGCAGATGGGTCAAGATGCTAAGGCAAGAGAGGAGATACACACATACTCATGGGGACCAAGAAAGCCTCGCTGAGATCCCTAAGGGGTGGGGTGGAGGGAGGGGAGGGAACTGACATGGCATGGCAAGGCAAGGGATCCGGATTGATGTCACACACAAAACAAGAACCAGAGCAGGGGGCTTACTTGCGGAAGTGTATACAAGTGAACTGGGGGTGCTATACACCGAGGACCCCTCCTGATTGGCCTGGCATAACAGCACCGTGCCTACAAAAGAGAGAGAGACATTGACATCAGGTTTGGGAGCTGTCACACTACGTAAATGAGACAATCAGAGAAATAACATACAGTCACATTCCATAGCACAGGGCAGGGCCCCCACAGGGGATCCCCATGCTTTAGTCACAGGGGATGTGTCAAAGCCCACCCTCACACACAGCCCACCAAGCCCATGGCCCTGGTCTTCAGGGGGAGATGGAGGAGTGGGACCCCATCATCTCAGATCAGGAATGGAGGCAGCGTGGTGATAGTGTGCTTGGAAGGGCACTTTGGAAATAACAGCGAAACTCAATTCTTCTCCACTATAGAGCTGTGTGGTGATGGCAGTCTGTCACTGTACCACTTTGTACCTCAGAATCCCCACCTTGAAGAGAGGGGCCAATGTATACCTACCTCCAAGAAAAATTTGTGGTTGTGTGCTTGGAGAAGTGCCCAACACAGGGATGCGTATGCCAGGGACACTCTACACATGCTGAACAGATTCACTGATAGATTTTTAAAAAAGATTTCCCCCTCCATCTTTAATCGTCCTGAATCAGTTCCTTGGAGCCACAATAAAAGGCAGGCAAGGAAAGGAAGACAGCTTTCATGATTACTTATCCTGTAACCACCTACGCTCTGGGCATGGGAGTTCGGGTTTCTGCCTTTCCCTGCTCTTCCCTAACAACACTCCATGGTCCAACTGGAGTGGTTTAGCCCTTGTCGTTGCAGACTGGCTGCACTGCAGTGATCATGCCTCCCCTCAGTCTGATTTAAAACAAAAGGTGCTGCGCTGATCCTTGCAAAGTGGAATTTTCCAGCAGGGAGGAGCGACAGAGGCCTGAGATTCCCCTCCTCAATCTCTGACAGGTTCTGAGCCACCACCTGCTCTGAGGAAAACCAGGGTCAGAACTCTCTGGGACAGGCATTCTGTTCTCCCACAGTGACAAAGTTCTTCCTCAAAGGCTTTGGGAAGAATTAGAAGGACTTCATAATAGTGCTCAGCTTATGGCGGAGGATGGAAATGCATCCCTATGGTGTCTGTTCACTTCGGGGGCAGGGAAGGTCAAACACCTCCACTTGGTTTGGGATTACTTTATCAACCCTTAAACTGGAAACTCATCTTCCATGAAAAGAAACCTACAGCAGAAAGCCAGCTCAAGGGCAGAACACACTCCTTTATCCCTGGAGAATGGTTTCTTCACCATCAAACGGATCCCAGAAACTTCCAGAGTGCGTTGGGGCTGCACGGGGAGTCATTAAGAGACAGAAATCGTTTCCAAACAACACAACTGATCTCCATTGTCCCCTATTTCAGGGATGGTATCCATCATATGAGGAGGTCTGAGAAAGCCTGCCCGCAAGTTACTGTCACTCTCTGGGCTACATGCTTCTAGAGTTTGTGCATCATTTCCAGATCAACAGAGATTTCATTAAAAGTCCTCACAGGTTCTGTAGGATTTTGATTTATTTCTATTATATCAGCACCTTGATTCATAGTTTGAGTACAATAAAACAGTACGTTTCTGTTATTTTTAACACGTAAATGGTGGTGATTATGTGCCATGCAGTTGATTCTGACTCATAGCAACCCTGTATAGGGTTTCTAGGAGCAGAACATCTCATCTTTCACCTGAGTAGCAGCTGATAGTTTTGAACTGCTGACTTTGTAGCTAGCAGCCCAGCTTATAACCCAGCTCCTTAATATATAAACAGACAAAAGTAAGTGTTTCTACCACGTCTCCTATACCATTCTCAAACTCAGCTTCCTGAAGCAACGTTCTGCACCCCTGAGATGAGGAAGTCCCCAAAAGGACTGGACAAAAAGTAGGCATGTAGGAATAAGCTCACCATCTCTTGGGAGAAACTATATTATGAATCTAGGTCATGATCGACCCTTGCGCATCTGATAGTTATTCTTATTGTATTTTATAACTTACAAGATTAGTTTTAAAAGACCTACAAGATAAGCCTTCTCAGTGTCTCATTTCTCCATGGCATATTTCCAAACTTGGAGGGTAAATAACATAAAGAAGAGAAAGTAAATCAAACCCCAAGTCACTGGTTAAGATCAACTGTAGTATCTGTTCTTATCAATTTAATATCTGATGGGATATTAATGATTGGCGTCCTGGTGTGGTGCTTTAGGATAATGTACTCAACTGCAATGTTGGTGGTTCAGGCTCGCCCGCTGCACCTCAGAAACCCTATGCAGGGTTGCTATGAATTGGAAATGACTCAACAGCACCTAATAACAACAGAACTAGAATTGTCTAACTTTGGGACCCAACTCAAGGCTTTTAAAAAGCTTCTCAAGTGGGTTTGGCCTAGGCAGGCTGTGGTTGTTAAGTACCCTCAAATCAAAATCATCTCACAGAGACCCCAGGTGCCAGAGTAGAACCACCTCTGAGACTTTTCTTGGCTGTCATCTTTATAGGAGTAGACAGATCTTTCCCCCGAGAATTCACTGGGTGGGTTTGAACTGTCAACCTTTCCATTAGCAGCCAAGATCGTAACAAGTGTGCCACCAGGGCCTGTTCATTTGGTACATTCCTGGTTAAAACTCACTTCTTCAATGACATCCAACATTCCTTGAAGTGCCTAAGTTTTGAGAGAGAAAAAAATCATCTAATTGTAGCACAAATGCATCCAGCAGGGCATTTAAAAAATGTACAGTGAAAATCCTCTGGTTGGTTCTCTGCATCCCCGATGCAATTGGTGGAATCCCATTGAGACAAAACACAGATTTCCTCTGGAGAGCTAAATCCCAGCAGAGTGTAACTAAGTTTCTCTAATTGTCGGCTACAGATGTCAGACAACTGGGCTGAAACGATTCTTGGGTACACCTCTTAATAGTTTAAAATATATATATATATATTCTTTCCGCAATGATTTTGACCTTTATAAAGCAAAAGCTATACTGTCAAAGGACTTGGTTTTTATTTCACCCAAAACATCATCCAATTTAATTTGCAAAGTGCTTACCATATGTTCTCTTAGTACTCTGTGATCTCTGCTTAAAAGGAACCTTTAACTTGAACACTGTAACCTCTGTGTATTGGGTAGGGGAAGGGGGGCAATGTCTGTTAGTTTTGAAAAATAAGTCCAATAGCTAATAGGGAACATGCAACGGTAGCAGGAGTGTTTGCAAGGTCATTCAAAGCTTACCACAAAATAGCACCAACCTAGTTTTCTAATGACCCTCCTGAACGGAGTCTTCTACTTGTCTCTCCAACGTTCATCTATCTCCTGCTTCTCTGAGTTATTTATAGCCACTTGACATTCATACTTCTCAGCTTTTGCTTGTGAAGCACCTTCTAATTTAAAGATGGCAATGATATGCAATTTACACTGCTATCTACCATTCTTTCACCAGGACAGACATCACTAATCAATTTTGATATTGACCTTTTCTAACAGACCAGAAACCTCAGAATCATTCTTAACACAGCTTCTAGGCAGTGACTACCATTCAATCAGAGCTGATGGTGGTAATGAAGTTGAAATGCTATTCCTGTTCTTAGTGTCTGGTGAAACTATGTGAAATTGAGCTCTTTTATGTCCAGGTATGGCACTATGAGTTAATGTGCTGGACTGCAAGGCTGGTTTGAACTGCAAGGTTGGCAGTTCAAGCTTACCAGCAGCTCCTTGGAAACCCTATAAGGGTCTCCATGAGTCGGCATGTAACAACAATAAAAACAACCTGTCAAATATGGTGGGACATTGGTAATTTCCTATATGGTTCAACTTCGTAAAATGAATTCTCCTTTCTGCCTAATTGAAAAAATCTTCCCCTCTGTTTCCATTACAAACCCTTCTCAAAAAACAATAAAAACAAAAACATTCCCTTAGATTTGATTCCAACTCAGGGCAACCCTATAGAACAGAGTAGAATTGGTCCATAGGGTTTCTAAGGCTGTCGTCTTACAGTTTTGGTGCAGCGCTGTAGGTTAAGTACTAGCCTGAGAGCCAAAAGGTTTCAAGTTCAAACCCACCAACTGCTCCTCAGAAACCCTATACAGGGTCACTGTGTGTCAGAACCGACTCCACAGCACTTAACAACAACAATGTTGACAGAAGTACATTACCACATCTGTCTCTCCAATGACCTTTGGGTTAGGGGCCAAGTGCTTAACCACTGCATCCTCCATGCGTTGGAGGGAATGAATTACTTCATCGGCTCAGTTCCTATAACATTGTGGTATGGCGTTGTTGGAATAAGCACTGCTAACCACACAGTTGGTGCTTCAAACCCATCAGCTGCTTCTTGGAAAGTGTATGTTGTTAGTGTTAAGTACCCTCAGGTCTTTTCCAACTCAAAGCGACGCTGCATATGGTTTCAGAGGAGCAGCTGATGGGCTTGAGCTGCCGACCTGGTGGTTTATAGGGTAAACCAGTGTTTATCCTGTAGCGCCACATCAGGAGTCCTTGGAAACCCTATACAGGGTCGCTTTGAATCAGAGTCAACTAAAAGGCACTCACCAACAGCTTCTCAGCTCCTGTCCATTTTCATATGCTTCCTGTGGAGTCTTTGCCATTGTGTACTATAGTTTTTACATTTATATATAGGTGTGTTTAGCTACAGGGAAGTCTGTTGGGCATTGCCAAATCCTATTCATTTTTTCTCCCCAGTATCAAGCAAAATACCTGGCCCACATAAGGATCAGCGAATATGATTGAATTATAATACACCTTTAAAATAACTTGCTGGGTTTTTTTTAGCTGAATATACTTTTTTCTCCCAATCAGCTTTGTCTTGAATGTGTCTTCTCTGGTCAGCTGTGTACAGCTGAAATTCCCATGTTGCAACTTCAAATAAAGGAACCCTGTTGGCACTGTGGTTAAGGCACTCAGCTGCTAACCAGGTCTGCAGTTTGAACCCACTAGTCTCTCTGCAGAAGAAAGATGTGGCAGTTTGCTTCTGCAACAGCCTTAGAACCCTATGGGGCAGTTCTACTCTGTTTCATGGTGGTGGTGGTGATGTGCCGTGGAGTCAGAACCGACTCATA